GATGCCACCAATTACATATGTGATGTAACGGTTTCAATGTGTGATGCCACCAATTAAATTCGTAATTTCACCAACTAATCGTGTGGTGCCACCAATTAAATTCGTGATTTTACCAAGTAATCTGTGGTGCCACCAATTAAATTCGTGATTTCACCAAGTAATCTGTGGTGCCACCAATGAAACCCATGACGTCACCAATTGATTCTGGGCTGCCACCAATGAAGTTTGTGATGCCATCAATTAAATTTGTGATGTCGCCAATTAAATCTGCGGTGTTACCAAAATGTTTAATTAACATTTTTGATGATATTTAATGTCCCATTACATGAAAACCCACCAAATAGTGATTCAATGTTTAACCAAGGAGACAATGTCATCCTAATTATTAGAGCATACAGTCTTTATTTAAACGTAGAAAATAAAATAAATCATCTCTGTATATTAACGTCAATGGCCATCACTTGGTATTTTTACGGTAATTTAATTAAAGTTAATCAGCTGTCGTAATTGAATCATTATGTGCATTTAATGGAGGCATTTGATGCCTTTAACAACTATATGTTGGAAAACAATTGGTTTAGAAACTAGTTGTTTGTGCGTTGCCATGCCGTATTGTATTTTGTCCTAAAAGGGTCAATCTCGCAAACGATAAAGGTATTATCATGGAATTGTCTGTCACGTTAATACCGATGTGTTGGCTTAACATTTGTACTCGTATGAAAAAAACACGTTTTAAATAACAAAGGCGTGTAATAATTGAACTGGTAAGTGATTTGACCTGGTCATTTAAATGACACTACTCATTAAATGGGGAGATTATACAACCGTCTTGGAAAATAGATGTATCATGTAGTTACTATGGTTACCGATTCTGCAAAATTATGATTCATGTGAAAAAGTCCTTGAACTCAAATACATCCACAAAGAAAGGGTCATTTTACAAATATATTCCTAAATAATAATTAAAAAAAACATTGATGCGACGCGACATTTTGACATGAACCGCGTGCAACATGTGGTTGTGTATAGTGTTTTACTGCAAACAATAATTGAATGTACATCCGGTATACTGTTGTATCAAACTGGTGGCGTGTGTTAATCAACACCGCGTGATTACTAAAGTGACTTCTTGCATTTAGTGTAATCAACCATGTGGATAATAACCATGTGCTACATTGTCTCTGACTTTCTTTAAGTCAGTGTATGTTATGTCCAGACACTACTTTATTCCTTTGCTCATTTAATGAAATATAAAACCGCGTCACTGCCCAATTGAAAAACTGCGCTGATTTTCGCTGCGTATAGGCACTAAAATTCATATAGTACGTGTCATCACTTCAATGATATCCATTTCTCCCACACAAACCGCGGTAAACGTTTATCACTCTAGCACTCTGCTTTTTCAATAGCTATAACAAAGATATAGAAAGCTGATTCAATAGAACCAGGTAATATTATAATATAGTATTAATAACAATTTATTTCAGTACTAAAGCCATCGGCAATCTGTACGAAATACTCGTGGATAAAGTCAACAATGTTTATTTCTGTATTAGTTTTTTTTTTATGCGTGAAATATAAATTTTGCAAGATTTTTCTTCACAGCAGTGCTAATTGGCGCGTTTTAAATGGTGGCCCATGTTCGGGATTTATTACGCATATGTTAACACTATTTTCTCTCAGAGAAAGGAAAGATTGCAAATGTTTCACGTTATATTAGAAACGTCTATCGGAAATTCAAAATACACGACTTAAACATCCCTAATCACATTAAAGAACCATATTATGCTAACCAAATTGACTGTTACTAAACTCACCTTCGAGTTTAAAAGAACGTATTACCTATTAATAAAGCTTGCCACTTCCATTGATTCATATTGGGAATGTATCTGTAGAAGTTTACGTCAATTGGCCAGTGACAGCCACGTGCCTCATACAAGTGGTTAAGCGCTGATGACTTTTTAAAAATAGAAATTTAATGGGCTAACTTGCAATGTATTTGACTAATTTAGGATATTCGTGATAGCCCATTAAGTTCATAGTATTGGGCAGAAAGGAAAATATGTGGTCAAATGGGGAATGTACTTAGTATTCGCACGTCAGAGCGTGTTCACGTAAATGGCGGCAATTTATTGAAAAGCGCCACTATAGTGTACATAGTTAATGTGTTGAAATATATGTATATATATTTAAACTATTTTACTTTGTATTTCAAAATGATCTCCGGAAAAGCATTCTTAAAGTCAATGGAGATTTACTCTAGTATTGCGTTATTACAGGTACTAGAGTGCCAGACAACTGCTTTGTGCCCGATAGTGTGGTTGAATTCAAACACGTCGGTGACTAGGCTTTCCCGGACATGCCTTTAGCTAATAGCAATCCAACAAAACACTCATTGCAACACTCCACGTGTAAAATTAACTTACGTGGGTACTCGGCTTAGATGGGTTGTCTTCTATTAAATAACACTCATAGCTTCCTACGCACACACCTATGTTGCCGCAGACACTGTACATAATCAGCGTAAAATAGCAGACTGTCGTTGGAAACGTATGTGGTAAACGCTCTAATGCCATTGTTCAATCACTTTAATATACATCAATTGGCCTTTCAATTATTGACCAAAAACCAATAAAGCATACGCACAGTTTGCTGATGGAAGAAATAGACTTAGCAAATTGAAAATCAAATAAAGCATATTTATTTTGAGATGATATTAATATACCTAGGCCATTTAATACGATTTTCAAGTTTCCGAAAGGGCACGATGATGAGTGGCACTCTAACAAATGTGAACAGCGCAATTTTAACATTAATACACTCGTTTGTACTTTTCAGGTGACGCTGACACTGCTCGTTTCAAGCCAGTGTGCTGCTTCTAGCACAGGAAATGACGTCATTAACGACGTCATTCTGACGCAATCAAAGAATGAAGATGGCGGACTGAAAACACTTGTAGATGTTCTACAGGCGGCAATGCACGGACGGAGTCGAGATCGAATGAAAAGTGGCAAGTCCAATCTAAATTTATCGAACAAAAAATTAAAAGACATTATAGCTTCATTTTACCCCGTAGCAGTCGCTTATGTCGATGAAAATGACTTTCATAAACAAGTTACAAACCCAAACTTAAATTTAACATCGGGACATTCGTACAACTCGGGGAGTATAGAGAAACATGGTGAAAACAAGTTACAGAAACGACCGAGTTTTCGCGTTCCTCATCCAAACGAGCCTTTGCCATGGCATTGTAGAAACAGAAAGGAATGGGAGTTTCTTGGACCTGACATATTTCCACGATACATGCAGGTTACAAAGTGTACTCAAGAAAACTGTTACTACGGGCATTTCACATGCAAGTCTGTCAAAGTGACTGTCAAAGTATTGAAACGCCTTTTTAACGATGGAGAAGATTGGGAAGAGATGGACTATACTATATCGGTTGCTTGCGAATGTGGAAGAAACGATTGACTGTTTAGTGGAAAACTTCTTCGTACTAGTTTCATTTCATTTATTGTTTGGGCGATCACGGTTACTATAAATACATCACGGTTACTGTAGGATACATCATGATTATCTGAGAATAATACGAATATTAAACCATGGAAACGATCCGCATTTTACAATTTACGTAGGCTATCGTGATTTGGTCTTAGCACACTCAATTACAAATCGAAGCCCATCAAAATTTCCATACTAAATTTATGCGACTTGTGTCTGACTATGTCGTGTTCCCTTGGACGACAGCTTCCCGACAATATCGACGTCGCTATAGTTACATGTATAGTAACTTGTGAAGGATGTCCTAATAATAAACTAATTATTATTCTGTATTCCCTGTTGCTAGGCAACATGCACAAATACGCATGTACTTCATATACATAGTAACAACAAAGTTGTTCCTTTTCAGACAAAGATGGCCACTGCTGGAAAAGTTGATATTGCATAATTCATATATTCCAGCATTCAATATTATTTTTGAAGATAATACATTTAACCTTAAGCACCATAGTAACTTTTTTTGCTTATTTTAATTTCAGTTATTTGTTATTTATTTGCGTGAAATACTAATTGAAACTGATGTAAATAATATATTTAATTATTGGATGTCTGTATTTCTCAGTATCCATACTATTTTGGAGTATTATTTGACATCGTTGTTTATTTCAATGAACCAGTTGTCTAGCAGGACGGAATTTGCCAAACGAGGCCGGCAATGTTTTTTCTATTTGCACGATTTATAACGGATTTAATACACTTATTCTGTAAATTGCGCCCTCTGGTGTCGACGTGCGTCTGCGAAGTAATCATTGTTATGATCTGTAGTCATCCATCAATGGATATTACATTTTGAGAGATTTTACTATATTGTTGTAGGTGACGAATAACTTGTCGATTTGAATGGCATTGCCTTCATCTATATACGTCATTTCTACATCACAGAATCGAGGCGCTGCAATTTATTTGAATTGTGCATTTAGGTTATTTTTAAAGGAAATTTCCGAGTCGATGTGCACTACTCTGGACATGTACACCAACCAATGCAAACATCAATCATATAATGCTCATTTAGTTTGTAAAAAGGTTTTAAGTTCTGTATAATAAATATGTCAGCATATCTCTATTTAAGTCAGTATGTTCGCGTGTTCTAAGTAAGCCGGTGTACATGATACCAACAACTGTGACGTCATAATTATAATCATTCTAAATATACGGGATTGTGATTTGTTGTAAACTGGCAAAATGTGTTTGCATAAGATATGTGATTCATATGACGATGCACTACGCAACAAAATACGAACGCTCTTCGAAATAATAGTACGTACCCGTATTTCATAGGGCATGCACTTTGAATTAATAGTACGTACCCGCATGTCATTGCGCATGTGTGTATATCAACACGCGTGTTTGTTAACTAGACGCTTTGGCGTTCACAAACACACATTGTTTCGCTGTTATGTGGCATCATGTTGCACAGTGTCTAAAATCCATGAATAACGTAATTATAATATTAGCCCAATTTATTTATTTATTTTAAAATGATTACAATCATACTGCTTTAAGCGACTGTGATGAATTATAAAACAAAAATATGTCCCTGGTCTATTTACTTTTCTTCTTCGGCTCAGGCGACCTAATGTTATGTAGAAAAACACAGTGACAATGAGTGAAAATTATACCATATATATTCATATCATTTATTCACAAAACTGATGAAGATTAGATATAGAGGAACTAGTTTTGCATTGTGTCAGTGTAAAAACATATAGACAACGGGCATGAATTCATTCATACGTTTGTTCGCACGGTGTCGTGTCGTGTCGTGTCGTGTAGTGTAGTGTAGTGTCGTGTCGTGTCGTGTATTGTATTGTAGTGTAGTGTAGTGTAGTGTAGTGTAGTGTAGTGTAGTGTAGTGTAGTGTAGTGTAGTGTAGTGTAGTGTAGTGTAGTGTAGTGTAGTGTAGTGAATAGCAAAGCACGACAAGAGTAAGAAGGGGACGATCAGTACAGTTTGCATTAATTATTCTATTAAATCTATGTGAACATGTAAATAACAATAACACTCATTATTTCGTTGATAAATTCATGAAATTAAAATCCAGTGAATATGCTCAAAACATCAAAATATTAAAATTAAATGTCAGTGAAAATAAATGATTTTACTTTATTATAAAAAAAAAACTTACTTTTTAGCAGGTAACTCTAATACATAAGGCTTTTCCACGTGCTCTACTCCCGTGTCTGAAAATCGCACAGTTTTTTTAGGAAATGCGTATTTAGTTACTTGTAAATCGCCGAGTTTGTACAAGACGTCCTATGGAACAAACACACCGTATACAGTGTTAACATGTATGCACACACGTCTGATCAGAGCATCATAATACATTATTGAACTTAGCTGACTTACCATTCCTTCGATTACCTTGCCAAAAACCACATGTTGACCATCCAACCACCTGGCCGTGTTTAATGTGATAAAGAATTGAGAATTGTTCGTGTCCGGACCAGAATTTGCCATGGAAACCCACCCCGGTCCATTGTGACTTAAGTAAAAATTTTCATCCATGAAGTAAGGCCCATAGATCGACTTTCCTGGAAAGATAGATACAAAGTGTTAAATTGATCAACTTTCCTGAAAACATAGATACGAATTGTTGAATAGATCTACTTTCTTGGAAAGACAGATATGAATTTAAATAAATCTACTTTCCTGGAAAGACAGATACGAATTTGAATGGATCGACCTTCCTGGAAAGATTGACTAACTTGCCTGAAAAGGCAGATACGAATTGTTAAATAGATCCACTTTCCTGGATGATGTATGTTGTTTTGATGTGAATATTTAAGTCTATGACAGCCAGTAACAGGCTACTGCACTAATTTGCCTAAAACTTATACATTTGTATTCTATTTTCTTTAAAATGTAAACTTATAATTCAGAAATACTGTAAACCATGTCATAAGATTTTTTTCTGATTAAACATCGAACATTAAATTTGAGAGACTGTTGGCAGAAAACATAGGTGTCGCTTTATTCTAGACTGGAGATGGGACAGTGTTAAAATACTTTCATCTTAAAGCGGGAGGTTCGTCCCCTGCGCACGCACAGGAATTGAGTCCCAAGCGACAATAACAACACACGCTAAAAACGCAAAGGTTCATGGGTAGACGCTTGTTTGTAAACAATGACACGCTATAGCCATCCGACGCATGCGCAGGTGACAACTCCGCCTCTTTAAAGGTCAACCTTCAACAAACAATCAAATTCATTCACTGCCAAACCAGCTAGCAACAAATAACGGCCACAACAACTTACTGACTGAATTAGTCAACACCGATGTGCATACATGTGGTGGTGAAGGCTCACCGATATTTCTGAACAATATTCACAATGTAGTGTTATAGAACATGGCGAGTGGCTTTGCAACTTTAACTTCCATAACTTATAACAGTCATAATTAAAAGTACAATAATAAGGCGCGAATTAGAAAATCCAGAGTCTTAAGAACGAGAGTTCTAGAAGTCTTTGTATGGAATCGGGAATTAACAATGTAACTTTTTAAAGCATTACTAAACACGAAAACACATTGCAATCTAACTAGAACGGTCGTTGAAGAGCTGGTGTACAGTTATCATTAACATGTTCCTTTCATTATGTTGTAATAAGAAAGTTCAAAAATAACAAATAATAGAGATGACGTAAAACACTGTACATGGTTGGTTGTTACTATTGAGTGAGATTGTCAAGTTATATCACACTTTATTTTATCTATTATGGCATCACCTATTACTAGACAGATATGAAAGAAATTGACATGTTTATTCAGAAATTAAATTTTTCTACTGAATATGAAACGTACATTTCAAAATATGAAGTTTACATTATCTTCTGACATAGTTGTATTTTATCCACACTGCTAGATATTTTTAGGTGAATCGTATTAAACTAATATGAAGTATACTGAGACTGAAATGAGGTTTTAAACTGATCGGAACGTCTAGCTATTTTACTTTTACTATTTTAAAGTTGCTTATAGACAACGATTACCGAATATTATTTACTATATATTATAATATGATACATATACACTGGATAATGTTTAACATGGGCGTATACACGCGGACTGTTAGCATGGTAAAATGTAGTGTGTGGGAGGATTATTATTTCTATGTACGGTCAATGAAATTGTGAAGTTGCTGAATTGTACGGTGCATTTCAAATAAATAAAATTTTGCAACGATATGTGGTGTGCCGACTTGTGCAATTACTGCTCTCTCGCAAACACAGGCATATAAATAAGTACTGTTACAACTGTTATAATTATGAAATTAACTTTTAATAACACGCATTATTATAATCATACGACAACTCAAAGACGCATCATTCGGGACGGTAGCTAACACTTCGTGGGGGGCTCGGTTTGAGCATGGATAAAATAGACCTCCCACAATTTGATCGGCGGGACGGCGCCGAGATATGCGATTGTTAAGTAACAGCTGATCGACCACTTACCTCCACTTCCGTCTCCGACTGTAATATCGCCAGCCTGAATCACGAAGTCCTGCACAATACGATGAATTATGGTATTTTTGTAACCAAACTTCTCCTACAAGAAAAATATATAATGAAATTGGTTTAAAACTCACGCCATAGCTACTGTAGTATTTCACACTGTGGGCGATCAGTCATTCACTATCACAACCATTATACTATCCAAACAGCACACAAAATCTTACAAAAATTCGCAAAAAATACAGTAAGCGGTGTTATATTAGCCACGTTATGATTATGATTGTATACAGATACATTTATAAACAATATTCGCTTTACATTCCACGTATTGCAGATTGTTTGCGAGCCGATTAAAAAATATGCTTCAATTTCTATTTTAAAAACACGTTGTAGAGGAAAAAAAATATTTTATTAACGTAAATCACGGTATAAGAACAATAAATTAGGACAAAAACAAGTATCCCGACAGCCATGATATGTAATCGGTTCACACTGGGTCAAGATGCCATGACTGAACAAAGATGACATTGCAGCAAATGGTGAATTCGTGACTCCGGGATCGTATACTACGTCAGAGTACAAACTCATTAAATATAAATTGGATAATTAGTTGTGACGGTTGAGGAGGTGATAATAGAAACATCAGTAAAAGAAATGGTGCGCATAGTACGTGGAGTTATTTTCAATGCTCTTTGTCGACGGCTGTAGATTTCTCCACAGCTTGGGATTTACGTCATGTAGAACGTTCATTGGTTGGCAAGTACTCAACGCTTATAATGTACTCGACATGTACAAGTCATGGCACGCACGTACACACACACACACATAACCGAATCAACATTGGTTGCCAATGATGCGCCCGTCAATGCTGGCAGACATCGGGCTACATCTGTTGAATCATGAAATAAGTATTTACATTAGTACCCTCTCGCCCATTTTTAAAAATATTGTGTATTGCGCCCTCAATTGACGATTCGGGAATTTATAAATTATGAGCGGCGTACATAACAGATATTAGATCAACTCACGTCATTTCTCCAGTTGCCTCTGGCCAAGGCGGCAAAGTTTTGACATGTCACTGGTACTGTCTCGCAGAACAATCCTATTACTATTCTGCCGGCTGGTTTACCGTCCACTTCTATGTCAAACCAGGCTTTCTTTGTAACTAGCAAGTCACGGCTGGTGTCACGCCCTGTTTTCTTCCTCAGATACTGAGGTTTTTGGTAAGCCTGGAAACCTCCTTGTGTGGGAATGATAGCACACGTCATCGCAAATAAAATACCGGCAGGTATTCTTAAACGCATTGTGTATATCTGAAAACAAGATTGGGTTAACACGGGTGTAGCGTGGTCTGCTTAAACATCATCCCATTCATGTACCCCAACACCTGTGCCACTAATCACATTAAGTGACGACCATTCATTAAACGACGATATATCAGGGTTAATTGTATAATTTATTCGAATAAACTGCATACCAGCCAACAATTTCATCTCTAAAAAAAATTAAACCGCGCACATAGAAGATTTAGTGAAAATTTATGGAAGAAGATGAGAGCGCAGTTACGATATAAAAAAAAATGTCTAGAAACGGGAGCAACGCTTGGCAAAACACAGTGAAACTGCACCGAACTGCATAGTGGGATAAACAGAGAGATTGCATTAAAGTACCAACCAATTGAAGGATGCATTGTCAAACCATGAAGTGAAATCCATGTTACACCAAATGAATTATCCTCGTTCAATGACATATTGCTTTTCGATATAGAGGGCGCAATTGATAACCTGACCTCTTATAACTAGACACAGACGTTGTACATCGCTATCTAAGTATACAACGTATAATGCGAAGATCGGCAGCACGAACCGCGTACAATTGATCTCATAAGTGACATTGTCCTAGTTCAGCCACGTTAAAAAATGAACATATCCAAAATAACGGGCAACTACACGTACAGTATATAGGAATGCGAAGACAAATAAAAAAATGGAAAATAGTCCTGGGAAACACGCTTAATACAGTTCGTGATAGTAACCAAAATTGGCAAACGCTAACATCTAAAGTGGCAGTAAACATCGGGGATATTTCAGTAAACACAACGTATACATAAAAAAACAGTTCTCAATTACGTGACTTCTGCCCGGAAGTGGCTGTTCAAGAATAAATGTGTATATTGCACGCATGCACAACAGCACAATCAGTAATTATCTTCTGAATACATTCGTAAAATAGGGCATCCATGAATTAATGCAGACACGTATTGTACAGAAACTCTACTCAGGTGTAAAACATGCCATACTTACAAAACACTATAATGGAAATAGTAAAACTATTTGTATTGAAATTTCATGAGCTTCTATAAATTATGAGACAGAAAAAAATAACATACCAATACGTAGGAAATGTGCGACCAATAACGAAGCTGAGATAAATGGTGTTACCGATCTGCGTACACAGTTATTATGCTGGGGTTCGTTCCACGTTGGCATTTCAGTGTTGCCTTCAGCTGCTGCCTTTATAATTACTCCAAAATTACCTACTAACGAAACATTATTGTACTACTTTACGTGGGTCTGCGTTCGTTTTGATAGTAACACGTGGCAATTGATGCAAGGACGTACAAATCGTTTTGGGGACTGTGCGTCAGACTACTTCGGCCGCGCGCCACAGAGAGATTGTGACGAAGGTAGAAAGTTTCCTTGATTAAAAAAACGAAGAACGATTTAATCAGCCAGTTAGTAATAGCCTGTTGTACAAGTATAACTTTTAGTTTATCGCCATGGTTCGTTCCCTCCACCCCACATATTTATGCCACCTGACACTGCCGGCAACCACCCGCTACGAATATAGTACTTCCTCATTGTCGCCAGATGTAATATTGTTAACATTTAACACATTTATTAATACTTTTACGTCAAATTCTGAAGGAAAATACAATTATTCTGTGGTTTTGTAACAACAATGTTAACTAGAGTGCACACTTAAAGCTATAAGCGTTTTTTTATGAAAAGAGAAGTTGACAAGGACACAAGCTCATCGAAATATTCAATTCTGTATTCAGTAATACTGGTTACATGCATACACAACTATAAAACGCAGGATGTGACGATTTGATCATAATTTTTGCCGATTCTGCTACAGAAGCTTAGTAATGACGTCAACACTGTCTTCTAAATTGCATATGGGGCGTTGTAAACGTTACTTGAAATACCCCTGAATAGAATCCCGAATAAAACTTGTATTATTTTGTATACTTGTGTTGTTTTGTATACTTGTGTTGTTTTGGGCAGACACACATCATGGAAATAGCAAACAATTGACACGTCTGAATAGTTCAGGAAATTGTGATTAAAGAAATATTTTTATCTGAATTTATTAAAGATACTAGAGATTAGAAAACAAAGATAGAGAATTAACCCAAACTACATCTTATTTAAGTTTTAAAAGATTCCTTGAGCCTACAGTTTACTTAATTCTAACAAGTAATCATTTTTATATGTGAGTTTCATTGCTGCCTTTCTACTCAGATATTATGTTTCAAATGAGTCGTTCCACTGGCAATATGAAATAATTTGGAATAATATACAATTTTGATGTAGGGAAATATGCGTGTTAAATAAAATGGCTAAATAGCGTGTAAAACACCTCAGTGAGGGATTGGACCATCAGCGGGGAATTCTTGTCATTCTATAAGCTACGGCTACTCAGTCGTATTTCAACTAATGCTAATCTTGATTCATGCATTTTCATAATGGTTAATATCGGCAATATGAATCAATTGATGGTGGGTGCCTGTCAAGATAAGTCAAGGGCTTACAGGTTAAGGCTATGCCATGCAGAAATGACTGAACACTCTGGTATATAACACTGCAACCCACAATGACTGAAAACTCTGGTATATAACACTGCAACCCACAATGACTGAAAACTCTGGTATATAATACGCCAACCCACAATGACTGAAAACTCTGGTATATAACACTGCAACCCACATTGACTGAAAAGCCTGGTATATAACACTGCAACACACATTGACTGAAAAGCCTGGTATATAACACTGCAACCCACATTGACTGAAAAGCCTGGTATATAACACTGCAACCCACAATGACAGAAAACTATGGTATATAACACTGCAACCCACATTGACTGAAAAGCCTGGTATATAACACTGCAACCCACAATGACAGAAAACTATGGTATATAACACTGCAACCCACATTGACTGAAAAGACTGGTATAAAACACTGCAACCCACAATGATAGAAAATTGACTGAAAAGCCTGGTATAAAACACTGTAACCCACATTGACTGAAAAGCCTGGTATATAACACTGCAACCCACATTGACTGAACAGCCTGGTATATAACAATGCAACCCACAATGACAGAAAACTATGGTATATAACACTGCAACCCACATTGACTGAAAAAGCCTGGTATATAACACTGCAACCCACAATGACAGAAAACTATGGTATATAACACTGCAACCCACATTGACTGAAAAACCTGGTATTTAACTCTGCAAAGCACACTGACTGAAAACCCTGGTATATAACACTCAAACCAACATTGACTGAAAAAGCCTGGTATATAACACTGCTACCCACATTGACTGAAAAGCCTGGTATATAACTCTGCAACCCACACTGACTAAAAACCCTGGTATACAACACACAAACCCACATTGACTGGAAAGCCTGGTATATAACACTGCAACCCACATTGACTGAAAAAGCCTGGTATATAACACTGCAACCCACATTGACTGAAAAACATTGTATATAACACTGCAACCCACATTGACTGAAAACACCTGGTATATAACACTGCAACCCACATTGACTGAAAAGCCTGGTATATAACACTGCAACCCACATTTACTGAAAAAGCCTGGTGTATATATAACACTACAACCCACATTGACTGAAAAGCCTTGTATATAACACTGCAACCCACATTGACTGGAAAGCCTGGTATATAACACTGCAACCCACATTGACTGAAAAGCCTGGTGTATAACACTGCAACCACATTGACTGAAAACCCTGGTATATAACACTGCAACCCACATTGCCTGAAAAAGACTGGTATATAACACTGCAACCCACATTGCCTGAAAAAGCCTGGTGTATATATAACACAACAACCCACATTGACTGAAAAGTCTGGTATATAACACTGCAACCCACATTGACTGAAAAGCCTGGTATATAACACTGCAACCCACAATGACAGAAAACTATGGTATATAACACTGCAACCCACATTGACTGAAAAGACTGGTATAAAACACTGCAACCCACAATGACAGAAAACTATGGTATAAAACACTGTAACCCACATTGACTGAAAAGCCTGGTATATAACACTGCAACCCACATTGACTGAACAGCCTGGTATATAACAATGCAACCCACAATGACAGAAAACTATGGTATATAACACTGCAACCCACATTGACTGAAAAAGCCTGGTATATAACACTGCAACCCACAATGACAGAAAACTATGGTATATAACACTGCAACCCACATTGACTGAAAAACCTGGTATTTAACTCTGCAACGCACACTGACTGAAAACCCTGGTATATAACACTCAAACCCACATTGACTGAAAAAGCCTGGTATATAACACTGCTACCCACATTGACTGAAAAAGCCTGGTATATAACACTGCAACCCACATTGACTGAAAAGCCTGGTATATAACTCTGCAACCCACACTGACTAAAAACCCTGGTATACAACACACAAACCCACATTGACTGGAAAGCCTGGTATATAACACTGCAACCCACATTGACTGAAAAAGCCTGGTATATAACACTGCAACCCACATTGACTGAAAAACATTGTATATAACACTGCAACCCACATTGACTGAAAAACCTGGTATATAACACTGCAACCCAAATTGACTGAAAACACCTGGTATATAACACTGCAACCCACATTGACTGAAAAGCCTGGTATATAACACTGCAACCCACATATACTGAAAAAGCCTGGTGTATATATAACACTACAACCCACATTGACTGAAAAGCCTTGTATATAACACTGCAACCCACATTGACTGGAAAGCCTGGTATATAACACTGCAACCCACATTGACTGAAAAGCCTGGTGTATAACACTGCAACCACATTGACTGAACACCTTGGTATATAACACTCAAACCCACATTGACTGAAAACCCTGGTATATAACACTGCAACCCACATTGCCTGAAAAAGACTGGTGTATAACACTGCAATCCACATTGCCTGAAAAAGCCTGGTGTATATATAACACAACAACCCACATTGACTGAAAAGTCTGGTATATAACACTGCAACCCACATTGACTGAAAAGCCTGGTATATAATACTGCAACCCACATTGACTGAAAAGCCTGGTATATAACACTGCAACCCACAATGACAGAAAACTATGGTATATAACACTGAAACCCACATTGTCTGAAAAAGCCTGGTATATAACACAGCAACCCACAATGACAGAAAACTATGGTATATAACACTGCAACCCACATTGACTGAAAAGTCTGGTATAAAACACTGCAACCCACAATGATAGAAAACTCTGGTATATAACACTGGTGTATGACACTGCAATCCACAATGACTGAAAACTCTGGTATATAACACTGCAACCCACAATGATAGAAAACTCTGGTATATAATACGGCAACCCACAATGACTGAAAACTCTGGTATATAACACTGCAACCCACAATGACTACAAACTATGGTATATAACACTGCAACCCACATTGACTGAAAAAGCCTGGTATATAACACTGCAACCCACAATGACAGAAAACAATGGTATATAACACTGCAACCCACATTGACAGAAAAGACTGGTATATAACACTGCAACCTACAATGACAGAAAACTATGGTATAAAACACTGCAACCCACAATGATAAGAAAACTCTGGTATATAACACTGCAACCCACATTGACTGAAAAGACTGGTATATAACACTGCAACTTACAATGACAGAAAACTCTGGTATAAAACACTGCAACCCACAATGATAGAAAACTCTAGTATATAAACACTGCAACCCACATTGACTGAAAAGACTGGTATATAACACTGCAACTTACAATGACAGAAAACTCTGGTATATAACACTGCAACCCACAATGATAGAAAACTCTGGTATATAACACTGCAACCCACATTGACTGAAAAGACTGGTATAAAACACTGCAACCTACAATGACAGAAAACTCTGGTATACAACACTGCAACCCACATAGACTGAAAAGACTGGTATAAAACACTGCAACCTACAATGACAGAAAACTCTGGTATATAACACTGCAACCCACATTGACTGAAAAGACTGGTATATAACACTGCAACCCACAATGATAGAAAACTCTGGTATATAACACTGCAACCCACATTGACTGAAAAGACTGGT